GAAGTCTGGAATAAGTCTCTTAAGTTGTTTGATTATATTTTGAGCATATGCCTAATGAGTTCTTTGTCTTAGGAGAGGTCATCTAGTAAAGCAACTACTTGCATAGAATCATTTAGGTTGGAAGGGACCTCTGGAAGCTTCTAGCCCAACTCTTAGCTGGGCAACTTCAGCGTTGGGTTGGGTTGCCCAGGGCGCTGTCATGCCAAGTGTCGGGTGTATGCAAGCAGATCCCCCATCCTCTCTGGACATCCCAGTGTTTGCTTATCATCCTCATTGAGAAATTATTGGGGGTTTTCCTAACATCTAATCTGAACTTGCCTCGTTACATCTTAAGCCTGTTGCCCTGGTCCTTTCAGCAAGCAATGTTACTGATGGCACAAGAAAACGCATTTAACTGGCTTACAAAGCTGTAAGTCAATATAGAAAACAAAGCGCTGTGGGATTACAAAAGCAATGTGTGAAATGTCCATATGCTCAGAGGGATGTTCAGTAGGGCAAAGTTCAGTTGCAAAGAACTTTCCTGGAATAGTTATGATGTTCGTTGGTTGCATACATACCTCGGTGTCTGAAGTCTTAGGGAAAGCAGATGCCATTGGTTTCCCCCCAAAAGTCATTGTGTGAACCCTTTTTTGTTGTTAATGTGCTTGAGAGCTGTGCCTCATCAGCAGTCACATCACTAGCTGTGACCTTTTTTTTTAGGTTTGTATGCATTTTTCCCTGCCTTTGTCGATTAACAATCTTGTCCATTGTACTTTGTTGAACTATTTAAGATGATTGAGGCTAGAAAAGGGATGTTTTTTAAGTGTTTAGCTAGATGAAAATATACGAGGAAAGGAACTTGAAGGGAGAGAGGGTGGGTAGCTGACTAAAACTCTGGAAGAAAGCTCTCAGCAGTATTGTTTCTATATGTAAACCTGCAGTGTGTGCTGTGCTGAGCTATATGCTGCACGCTACGTGACAGGTTCAGACTTGCATTTTGGAAGCAGTGCTACTGAAGGCTTACTTTTGCCTAAAGTATTCCCTTTGTGAGCACAAAGAACTTGGGAATCAGATGCGAGCTACTGCAGTACTCCGCCTGAATCTGCCAAAATTTTCAGTAAAAGTTAGCTAATGATAAACAAGACCATCTTTGGCTTCTGGCATTAATACCACTGATCAACTTTGTTTGCGTATGGAGCAGTAAAGGGAGGACCGGCAGGGAAATGACAGGAGATTGCATGCTGCTGTGGAGAAGAAAGCAAGTGTAATTGGGAGCCTTGCAGAAGTCAGTTTATATTACTCAATGTATTGGCGAAGCTTTTTTAAATAGGATTTTCAGAGCATCCAAAAAGAATTGGATGGCAATGTAACAATAAAAAATTGTGAACCTAACGCCTTTAGAAAAATTTTAGGCTAAGGGTTTTATTGCATAAAAATCTTTCATCTTTGTGTTCAGCTCCAGCTGATGTCTGGGGAAGATCTAGAAGAAGTAAAAACTGTTATTTCATTCAGCCGTTACTTACAGCGAAGCCAATTCAAAATGCTCTGTGTCCCTTTGACCGAATTTGAACCCGAACCAAAGGAAGGTGAAAGGTGGAATGCCTGGAGTGCTGCACCGCAGCTTGAGGTTGTACGATCATGAGTTTCTCTCTAATAAATGCAGGGCTGGAGCTGTGTAGTGCAAGATAGCCGGCATGGCTTCAGTAAGAGGTCCGTGGGAGCACAGCCAGAGGTGACAGCCATCTGATAACTTGCCTTTGTCTTTAAAGGTTCATATAAGCTATTAGGACTGTAACCTAATACTCAAAACTGTTCTGAATTTGTTGTAGCTGGTGGTTTTCCTTTCCTGTTCATCGTGCTCTCCTGCTTCTACTTCTCATGCATGCTCTTCAGGAAGATTTCTGCTGTATATCCTCTTCTTTTCCCGACCTGTATGACTGTGTTCATTCATCACTACAATGGCAAGCTGAAATCTAGGAGACAGTCATAGCGTGTGCAGAGAGATGAGCATGCCCTCGAGGCCCTTAGTTAACACCAGGCATCAGGAGAACTCTGCAAAGCACCTTAAAGGAAGGTATAGGTTTACATTACCAAAAGAATGTTCTTCTGAGCACAGTTAGTGGAATTTGTTCTGCAGTGCAGCATTTTTAATCACCTTGGTAATATGTCTCCAGTAAGACTGCCTGATTCTGCTGGGTTCGTCCATTGTGTTTAAATGTGAACATTGCACTAATGGTCCTTGTGGCTTTAATGGCCCGGTTTCCCTTTTAATAATTTGCGTAAAAGTTGAATGTTGAGTGCAGGTGACAAGGAGAGTTTCATAAACTCCCCAGAGCAACAAATAATTTTAATCTCTTTTGATCTTCAGTGGTAGTGGTACCCTCCTGCCTTTTAGAAATAATGAGTTTATTAAATTTTCAATTAAAAGTCACTTTCTTCTAAGTTACCTGTGTTTTCACTGACTGCTTACTCTAAGCCCGAAGCTATGGCTTCTATCATAAGCATCCTGGTAACCCCCACACTTCTTCTTCCTCCTCAGGTTGTTTTGTCTTTGCGTGCTCTAATGGGATCATTTTGAGTCTTCAGCTTTGATTTTTTATTTTATTTTTTTTAAATTCCCTTGGAGAATTTGTAATGCACTTGATGCAAAACAGATCAGACCTCTGTAAAATATCAGATTTGCTCTCCTCTTGAGCAGTTTCCAACAGTTACAGGTCTTGATGATAACTATTAATGTAGAGCTTGATCTTTGATCTTGCCTCTGAGAACTGCTGCCTTTGCTTAGACGTGACTTAAGTGGTAGCGGCTGGTTCAATATTGAAACTAGCTTGCAGTCTACTAATATATTCATAATCTCACTCTTGCGGCCCTTAATTGTTTAAAAATTACATAGTATTTGAAGCATAATCTATGTTGCTCAGACAACAGAAAGCAAGTAGCAATTTTCTTAATGTATGCGCTCCTTCTAATATCCTTGGGGTTCTGCACTGTCTGGTTTTGCCCTTGGATTACAACAAGCTGGTCAAAATGCTCTTTGCGGGGGCGGGGG